CGATACTGTACCCTGCTTGAAAGTGCTGGTACTTGTTTTTATGACAGGCTCGGAAACATCTCCCAACCACGCCCGTATTACTATTCTCCACGACTCCTTTACATGTTTCACTTCCGAAAGCATAAAATTACCGTACTTAGCAGCGGTCAGAAAGCCATCTCGAACCCATCCATGTGCTTTTCTATATAGACGTAATTTTCCCGGCCATAACCGTGTGGCTCCAAGTGCCTGCTTAACGCACGACACAAATCCCATATAGTTTTCAAAAGTCTTCGAATCATGCCACACATCGTAGCAGTTCCGCCTCGCCTGTTGAGCGTCAGGTAGAACCGTTTGCAATACGAGAAGCTGAAAGAAGAACCTTTACTGATGAGATTTCATATTGCGTTGATTTTTGTATACTTACACTGTATTTTTCGAAAATTTCAGACAAGGTTGGAGGGAAACATTTGTTCAAAGCTTATCGTTCCCGCTGATCGTCGTTCAGAGGCCCGGGCAAGGGCAGGGCCAGCTAGCCAGGCAGAACGGGGTCAGGCATTTTCTTTACCGAGCAGCAAATCATTCTCAGATTAATTTTCGTGCACATTTTCAACCACATGTCACAATTAGAGCTCAGTTACAATACGAGTACAATCGACTGAAACACAGGGCGTGGCAGGGGCGTGCTGGCAGCACAGCGGCGCCAGCCACTTTACCACTCATAGGGCGACCCAAGCCGCAACGACTGATGGAAGCCGGATAGCGCCCCTCCAAACACATGCCCCGCTGACCACGCCCCGGCTGTTTTCAGTGATAGCCACTATATTTTACAGAAATTTTCGCAGAAAATGGAAGACTTCCATGGTAGCTTTTGCTCTTGGTGTGCTATCCAAGAGAGCGAAAACATAATATTTACTACAATGTCAATTTATCGCTCCCTCAAAGTGCCTTTCGAGGGTGGAGATTGTCTCGAAATTAGCTCCATTTTGTAGTAACAGTTGAAAAAATCAATGACCGGTTTGCGAACGATTTACCGTTTGGTTTGGAAAATGTGTGCTGGCTGACCCTGCGCTTACAGCCTTTCCTCCCCCCCCTACTCCCCTGGTCAAGTGACACCCCTGATGACAATTCCACAGGATGTCTTCCCTCCCGTAGATCATCGTTCCTTACCTACCGCAGTGACTTTGTTTAAATAGTTTCATAGTATGCATAGTAAGGTTGTTTAGATGAACTAGTAAATTAATACATGCAAAACTCCATTGTCTAGCCCATGGTAATTTTGCTTCAACGTGAATTCCATATCTGCCCATTGCATGAGAAAATTTCTTCCAATTTCCGAATTTCGAACCTAAACGGTTGTTAGTACAGAATCGTAGAGACTAGCAACTTTGGAAGAAGACTGTACAAACCATAAAGCTTGCTGCAGAGATTTCAAAACTGAAAAATCTTTCGTATAAAATAACATGCACACGATCATCTATCCATTCTTCAATGCAGTGGTTCGGATTGACCACACCTAAAAACTTCAGAGATATACTCAGAGATGGAGCTCCTTCACAAGAGCCTTTCTAGAGTTTTTTTTCGTGAGTTTCTTGTGTTTTCTTGAGTTTCTTGCGGAATACTTTAGACGCTAGAGACACTTGGAGTGAGCTAACATAAAGTATATTTGAAAAGTGCTGATTGTGAGAAAAAAGGGGAGCGAGGGTGCCAGAGTTATTGTATGCTGTATACAAGTTTTGATATCACTTACTCGGTCTCCGGTCAATTACTAACAACTCCTAATCAGGTCCTGTTGTTAGTAAATGACCGATGAACCTAGTTGACGCAGGCGATCGCCAGTCCATTGCCGACTCGTATATACCAACGGAAAAAAAACTTGGAGCCAGATAGGTATTTTAACCCGTCTTACCTTATTTTATTGCCTTCTTAAACACCGACATTACGCGCAAAGCTAAGAATATAATTAACTAATTCGATAACACAATAAAATTAATATATTTTCAGAGCGGAGGTAGTGCAGTGGCAAATGGCTCTACATACCACGTGTGTGGTCTGGGGAACAGACTGCGGATCAGCCCCGCCAAGTTATGTTTCATGGTTCTTGAGGAGCAAAGGTTCTTAATGATTCTAGAAGGAATCTCAAGCTTCGGAAAGTTCACCCGTGATAGGGTCATCGAGGAGTTTGCGTGCGTGGGGGGCAAAACTTATTGGAACTACACTCGTCTGCGGCGCAACTTAGGCTTAATCCAAGTTTTTTTTTCCGCGGCTGTAGGTTAGAATGTCAGTTCTAACATACCAAAGGATTCAAGGGCAGTCATATTTGTGAACTTTGTGAATTTGAAATTTAAAAAATGGCAAAAGTGGTCGGTTGTTCACCAGCCAAATGCCATCGTTGGTCGTTTCGAACCACACTAATTGCAAGCAAAATATAGCAAATCCATCCCAGCCCTTTGTCGTCAAGGGGGCATGGCGATGAGGATACTTACTCGTTAAGCACCACTACCTCTACCATTCCATCTATTACAACCGCCTTCAACTTCGCAACCCACCTTCTTTCCAAAAAAAGATTGAACTCCTCGGCCTGCGGTAGAGGATGGAGAGCGGAGGAGGGTCTTGCGACGTGGCACTTCAGAAGAGCGAAACGCATATTCTCTTCCACAAGTGCCTCTTTTTTTCTAGTGATGGAAAACCGCTCTCAGCAGGTCAAATATGTCCCCCTCCACAGAACGTCTCATATAGAACTTCCACACAGAATTCTTCAACCAGGCACTACATGCAATCCACCGATGCCGCAGCTTCTTCCCGCCTACTCTTACGAGCGGAGCGCTGGGTTCATGCTCTGCGGCAGCGTCACCGCCGACCATTAGCATTCCGAGCGACTAGCAGCGTCAGCCACTAGGACAGTATAGATATCGATTTGCCGACAAGCAGCGTCTACCAGCGTCAACCAATGGCCAGGAGCGTACAGGAGTGAAGAGCGTGGAGCGATTGGAGCGACAGTTGGTCGAATACAGGGAGATATGAGTTTAGAAGAGTGATGGTACAGCGCATGGAGCGGCAGGATAGTGGCGGACAGCTGGTGAAGTATGGGGAGATAGGAGGGTATCAGACAGCCGGTAGAGTATGGGCTATAGCAGGGCACCAGTTGTCTGCTTCCCTCCTGTCGCCATACTCTCCACTCTGCAGTTCGCTAGATCGATATCTATGCTTTCCTAGCCCTCGAGATGCTGCTGGACGCTGATGGTCGCTGGTGGACGTTGTTGGACGCTGGTAGATGCTGCTCGCTAGATCGATATCTATACCTTCCTGTCACTGACGCTGCGTGAAGCTCGGAACGCTAGTGGTCGCTGGTAGGTGGAGCCGCAAAGTATGAATGCAGCCTAGAAGCTCCAGAGCATTCCAAAAAGGGATTCACTGTGACAGACCGTGACAGACCAGCTTTAAGATTAGAAAACTCTCCAGTATTGTTCCTGTTTACTAAAAGTTGCTATGAACATAAACATACCTGTATCAGCATCTAGGATGAGCATCCAGTCCGTATCTTTTAGATACTCCGACGCTATACAATGTCTTTTGAATAGGAACTGAATAAAGTGTTGAGTTTTCAACAGCTCACTCAATAAACTTATCATTTTGTCTAATCCACTCCCTTTTTTCACTCAGACACTCGTTAGAACTTATGCTATTCGATTGTTTTTTTTTGATAATTTTGCAACGCACGGCACATTGAGATCGGCTGGCGATCCTTATGAGCATTGCATGGCACTTCAATCGCTGGATCCGGAAGATTCCCATATTTTTTTTTTGAAAGATGGATCTGCTTTAAAATGAAGACTACGGAATTTCAAAAAGACCTTTTGTCTGTATAATGGTTTGCTGCGTATCCTCACCCGATGGAACGACGTGGCGTGTTCGCGTGGAATCCTGGTGAACTATGTGGATGCAAAACCATGTTGCCAGTTTACAACGCATAATCACAGGTCTATACCCTCCTATCCTCCTATACTGTCCCAAAGCGCTAACGATGCGTCCGATCAATCGAGGGCGGAGCGCTCGTCATGACTCGTTCCCCCCCCCCCAAGCACACAGCATTATAGTCGTGATTCGCGATTGTGGGCGAAGCGCAGTGGCGTTCGTTCATACTTTGCGCAGCGTCCTACCGAGCGACCAGACTTTCGGCAAGCGTTCCTGAGCGTCGGGCAGCGTCAGCGACTAGGAGGATTTTGGAACAAGCACCTGCCACGGTCTACCACACGCCTGAAGAGTGGAAACTATGCAGGGATAGGCGATAGACGTCGGTAGAGTATGGGGAGATAGGAGGGTAGCAGAGAGCTGGTAGAAGAGTATGGCGTTGTAGGAGGGTAGCAGACAGCTAGTACCCTCCTATCGCCCCCCTCCCCCCACTCTCCACTCCCGGACGCGGCCTGTCGCTGGTGGACGCTGGTAGACGCTGACAGACGCTAGATCGATTTCTATAGTTTACTAGTGTTACTGTTACCTTCTATACTTTACTGTTGCTACCGGACGTTAAGAACGCTGGTGGACGCTATTGGTCGCCGATGGACACTGCCGCAAAGTATGAACGCAGCCTTACAACGCGCGTAATCGCGAACTCTGATTGCGGCCTGATGCAGTGGAGACACACACCAATGGGAAGCACCTCGTCCCATCACCCACCGTTACCTTTCAATTCAAACTCTTGACATATGTGGACTTACGTTGTTGTATTTGTAGCAGAGTTGCCTTGTTCGTTCATCGTCTTCCAAATTGACTGTCACAAAGCGATAATTAACTCCTTTTAAGTAGCATTTGAGCGAATTTTGTGCCACAATGTACTTCCTAAAATTAACTGAATGAAAACTCGCAGTTAGACGACCATAACAAATAATCTCTCTTGAACTCCCAGATATTGATTATTTTGAATTGTTTAGATAGAAAAATACTTACCATTATTACTATAGTTAACCTAAAGGTGCGCTACACACCACGTGGCGGATCCCGAACTTCGCGACAGACCTCTGGCAGCCTTGCCGCTCAAGTTCGAGCCGCAGAAGAAGTAAGATCCATACCGGAAGGCAAAAGGAGTTTCCGAAATTGCTCGGCGACGGCGTATTCCCTCGACTCCCCTCTTTTACCCTTATGTCTCTGCCTCACTGTTCCCCTGCCCTGGACCCTCACAGCCGCCTCCGGGTGCTGTATGTAGTTTGACCTTTTTTGCCCTCAGTTATAGACTGTACACCCACAGCGATTGCGGGCTAAAGGCGAACGTAGCCAAATGAATAGATTGTACGTATGAGAATAACCGCGGACTGTGTGACAACATTTCATTACAAATGGTTCCCTGATTAGGGGAATCATCCTCCATCGAGCACTTTTTTTGGGGCAGTTGCCCGAAAGTGG